AAAAATAAGTCCAAATAGCAAAGAGCGAAGGAGGAAGAAGAAAGCCATGGCCAGTAAGGAGATGAAGGATAAGCTCGAGAACTTGGACGTGCAGGTGCGAAGCATGAGCGAAGCCGTGGACAACCTAGGTGAAGGGCTCGACACCACCAAGGCATCGGTGCGAGATCTAATGGAAATCATGAACCGAAGGTTCGATGAGATGGCTTGCAACATCCAACGTCAACCTCACGATCGTGATCGAGTCAGACTGCCCGACCCACACCACGGCGAACACGAACACGAGGAGGAGGAGTTCGAGCAGCGGTCACAGGCTTCAAATAATCACGACCATCTGCGGCTCGATAAACCGAGGCTAACGCTATCCACATTCACCGAGACTGACCCCGACGCATGGCTCAATCGGGTGCAATACTTCGAGCTCAAGGGAACCGCCAGGCACAAGTGGGTTTGATATGCAACCTATTATCGACGGCGAGGCCAATGTGTGGTGGTAGTGGCTTACAAACGTCTACCGCGGTAGGCAACAAGCGATCGAATGAGAGAACTTCGAGCGCGAGCTTCTCACGCTCTTCGGGACATCCGACTACCACAACTACGACAAAGCCCTCTCAGGCGTACAACAGGGGGGGGGCCTGCGCGACTATCAGAAGGAATTCGAACGCCTAGCGTGTCGTGTGCGAGGTTGGTCGGAGAGTGCGCTAGTGGGCGCGTTCATTGGCGGGCTGAAATTTGACTTAGCCACCGAAGTGGGATTGGAGAGGCCAGAGATGATGCAAAAGGCCATAGAGGTCGTCAGGCGAAGGGACGATCACCTCGCTGCAACTCGAAGGGGACGGGCGGACTCACAGTTCCCGGAGCAACGTCGTACTCCACCGGGCCCAAGCACGTTAAACCCCAGTCCTCGACTGCCGATTAACCCTCGATCTCCCATACCGGAGGTCAAGCAGCTATCGTTCGAGGAGATGCATAGGCGACGCGAGAAGGGCCTATGTTTCAAGTGCGAGGAGAAGTTTGTACCCGACCACAGGTGCAAGCAGGCGTTTTTAGTCGACATGGTCGAGTTTGATGAGGAAGATCCGGTAATAGACGAGCCGGAAGTGGACGAGATCGAGGCGCTCAAGGAGGAGGCCGAGATCTCGATGCATGCGATGGCCGGTATGCGAGCACCGAGGAAGATTCGACTACCTACGTGGGTTAGGGACCGCCGCGTGGTTGTACTCGTCGACAACGGGTCATCACATAACTTTATCAACGCTACGCTCTCACAGAAGCTAAAGCTGCCCACGACCAAGGTCGAGCCGTTTGATGTGCGCGTGGCTAACAACGAGCGATTGCGTTGTTTTGAGGCATTCAAGAACGTACCGATCAAGTTCAAGGGAGTGACCGTCAAGGCTGACCTTTATGCCTTGCCTCTCGTTGGACCCGATGTTGTGCTAGGGGTTTAATGGCTTGAAGGCCTGGGCAACGTGACCACTAATTACTGCACGGGGGTCATGAAGTTTGACTCGGGAGAACAACGGGTCACGCTGAGGGCAAGTGAGGACGGTGGGACCAAGGAGATTGGCCTCAAGAGTGTAGAGCAATTTTGGCATGGGGGCGGCCAACTCTATGCGGTAGTAATCGAGGAGTTTGAGGCGCGCAAGGGCGAGGTCGAGCAGTCGCAAGTGGAGATATGCGAGCTGCTCGAGCAATTTGGCCTGGTCCCTGGTGATCCACAGGGGCTGCCAACGCACCGAGAGTTCGACCACCGCATACCACTGGTCGATGCGAAGTAAGCTGTGCACGTTTATCTTTACCGATACGCGCATTTCCAGAAAACGGAGATCGAGAAGCAGGTAGGCGAGATGCTCGAGTCCGGGCTCATCCAGCACAGCACGAGCCCGTTTTTATTGCCAGTACTGCTCGTGAAGGAGAAGAACGGTACATGAAAATTTTGCACAGACTACCGTGCCCTTAATGCCTAGATTATTAAGGACCGGTTCCCAATTCCGAGTGTCGACATGCTCGACGAGCTAGGAGGGTCGCGCTACTTTTCTAAGCTCGACCTTAGGGTCGGGTATCACCAGATTCGTCTACACCAGGCTGACATTTCAAAAATGGCCTCTCGAACGCACCAAGGGCACTACGAGTATCTAGTGATGCCCATCGGCTTGTGCAACGCACCGTCGACTTTCCCGTTCGCAATGAACTCCATATTCAAGGAGCACTTGCGCAAATTTGTGCTCGTGTTCTTTGATGACATCTTGGTATACTCGAAGACTTGGGACTCACACCTTGAGCACTTGCGCATAGTGATGGAGATCTTAGAGACGAATTCATTCCACATTAAGCTGTCCAAAGGTTCGTTCGGGTAGGAGTCGGTCGAGTACCTCGGCCACTTCATATCACATGACGGGATGAAGGTTGATCCGAGGAAGATCGAGGCAATGGTGGATTGGCCGAAGCCAACTAGCCTTACGCAGCTTCGGGGCTTTCTCAGCCTTACGGCTACTACCACAATTTCGTGAAGGACTATGGCACCATCGCCAAGCCCCTCACCGAGATGGCAAAGAAAGGCGGCTTTAAGTGGTCGGAGTTATGTTTAAGTTCGATGTTATGTGCGAAGTTCATTCCGATGCGAGCGACGTGGGGATTGGAGCAGTCTTGTGTAGGAAGGACGGCCCTTAGCCTTCCTCAGCAAGGCGCTGGGCACGACGGGGTTGGGGATGTCCGCGTACGTGAAAGAGATTCTGGCGGTCGTGGGGGCCGTGCGGTGCTGGAGGCCTTACCTCTTGGGACAATGCTTCCGGATCGTGACCGACCAGTAGCCCCTCAAGCACCTACTCAAGCAAAGGATGGTGATGCCTGAGCAGTAGAAGTTCATCTCGGAGCTTATGGGTTTCGACTTTGAGATTGTGTACCGGTCGGGACGCCAAAATGCCGTGGCCGATGCG